TCACTGACATAACTTGTGAACAGCAGTAGATGTGACAGTAGTTTGTTTTGCATATCCAAATAAAGTGACATCGTTTTGTCAGGTGAATGAGATGCAGACATTTCCTTAAATGATTTAGGTGAAAGATTGTGGAGAAGCATCTATTCATGTAGATTAGTAATTCATCTCTGTGTAAATAAGAATCTTCAAAACGTCAAGGTAAACTAGTTGTGGCCCTGTTTATGTTGGGCTCATGTCACATGAGCATATTGCAAAGATACATGACAGTAGGACCTATCAACAAAGTATCAAAAAAGAGAAATTATTGTTTTTAATCTGGATGCCTGATTCCAGACTTTGCAAATTATTTATTTCTGAAATTATAAATAATATGAAATTGAAACTTTGAAATTAAACTTTTTGTAGTAAAAATTCATTAAACTTTTTTGTAATGGTCCAGTCTCTCATACTTTGATTTTATATTTTCAAGGAACAGTTGATCAGAATGGTCAGAAAAACTTGTCATCAAATTTTTTTTTAAATAATAATAATACAGCCCAGTTCCCAAACGGATCCTCATTACCACTAAGCATAAATCACAAACACTAAAACTCAACAGAATTGAAAAACCGTAATAATTTACTGTTGACAGGATGAGTCAAAGGACCTGACGGCTGCAGTTTTACTGAGAGAAGCACAGCTTATATCGGACAATCCACATAGTCCAACAGTCAAGCAAAATACATGATCTGCATTAGCCATGGATAATACACAGTAGAATTATGATGACTAAACCATTATGACTAATTCCCTTCAGGCATTTTTCTTTTCATGAATAAAAGCAGGTTTTACAAAACCTGGTAACCTCAATTATTTATTTATTTTGTTTTAACAGACTTCTTCCATATAGAAAAAAGCTTACCTATTCTATGTACCAGGTTTCTGTAAACTATTTTCTACTAATTACTGATATCTTCTAAACTATTTCCTTGCTACTGATTAAAATCAAGGGCATAATCCAAACAAAATTGCAACTGATTTCCCTTGTTTAAGCTGCTTTCCAGACATGTTGGAAACACCTGGCTAGAATTTGGCACATTGTACATTGTAAGTCCGTAGACTAATTATACAAACCTGCTGGTCAGACGGAAAGCTATATTTACCTTAGAGTTGAAAGCTTGCTTCTGTGTGTCCTCCTTCCTGGTTACCATGTTGAATATATTTCAAAAAGTACAGTCGTAAACGTGTCTAATGTAAAATCAAACCTGAGTTAACCTGTAACACAGATGTTGGTGTCCAACAGGTGTTGTTTTTCCTGTATCTACAGGAGCAGGATTAATGGCGCACTACTCTTTTCGTCTGTTGAAAGTGACTCTCTCTTTCCGCTCTCCACAATGCTGACACATACCACAGCCTTCCCATGCTCCTCCCCTTCCACAGGTAATACCAGCAAATGTGCTCTCATTATCTGCCTCTATCTCTCTGTCTTGATCTCGTTCTCAGTCATTATTTTGTCAAAGATCTTAGAGCAGGTTGTAAAACTGGCATAGTTAGGACATAGTTAGTACTTAAATTTTTTTTTCAATTCCATGGCCTGTCATTGTATTTATGTGTCATAACTGTAGTCATTGTGTTCCTATGTAGATCAAATGCTTTGACTTCCTCTATAAACTGAATAACTTCCTCCTAATAACTTTCCAAATGATACCTGTCTGTAAAAAAAAAAAAAGTGAATGGTGTGACAGTAACAGGGTGTTGTGGGAAGTTATCCAAAGGTGTTGCTATGGGGTAGATATGTTGTTTTGAGTGTTTTTGTGCAGTTGCTAGCATGTGAATGTTATGAGTGGTTGCTAGAGTGTTCTGGATTGTATCTTAAGCTGAATATTCTCCCACTTTTTCACTGAAACTGGGAACATTAATCTGCTTGGGAACATTAAACTGCAACATTTCAAATGTCAGAATAAAACAACAAAAAATAGATGTTTACGTATTCTGGAAAACAAATGCAATGATTGCTGCTGTAATTTTAGGGTGTTGTGTGTGATTTCCAGGGTCTTGCTGTGGTTGCTAAGGTCTTCAGAGTGTTTTGTAACATGTTGCTATGAGGTTGATAAGGTGTTTTGGCTGGTTGCTAGGCAATTGCTTACTGGCCCAAGTCAAAAGAGCCCAACCCTAAACCCCTATGATAATCTGAAATGTCTCAGGACACCTCAATTTAAGTCTGTGGGATTTTTTGCTTTTATTTTTGTCTAGGTTACTCTACCGTTCAAATGTTTAGGGTCTGCTGTTATGATCAATTTAATGCATCCTTGCTAAATAAAAGTATTAAAAAGCATTAAATTGAGGTTGATAAGGTGTTTTGGCTGGTTGCTAGGCAATTGCTTACTGGCCCAAGTCAAAAGAGCCCAACCCTAAACCCCTAACCCCTAGGTTACACTACCGTTCAAATGTTTAGGGTCTGCTGTTATGATCAATTTAATGCATCCTTGCTAAATAAAAGTATTAAAAAGCATTAAAAAAAAAGTTACGGACCCAAACTTTTGAATAGTACAGGACCGTCCTTAGATGACGCAGGACCCGGTGCGAGGTAGGGAACGGGGGCCCCCCTCGGTCCGTTTGACGTGCGGACCCCTAAGTTGCACCCCCTAAGGACGGCCCTGGTCTGATCATTTAGAAAAGTAATAGCCTTTCCTTAACAAGTCAAACAATTCCATTCATGTCTGTAACACAACTGATGCTAAAAAAAATTAAAACCCCAAATCTCTAATCCAAGTATGGATAATAGTAATACTACATTTATGTTAGAAATGTTTTAAACACTTGTTGTGCTGCATGACCCATTAAACGACTACAATAACACATGAAAGGCCAGCGACCCTCAATGTAAACCGAAACTCCATAAACAAAGCAAGTAAAAGCACTTAATAGCATTTAGTTAACATATTCGGTTAAGCTTCAACCAATTATATCCCAGAACTGCATGGGCACTTCGGACAATATTTGTATATATAACGCAACATAGCTTACAAAAATCATTTACATACACAGTCTTTTCTTTATATGCTACACAAGCAAACTTTCTGGTGCTTTTCATATTTTAAGGATATTATACCAACTTGTTGCATAGGTGATAGAGAAGGCCTGCAGAGATACATTTGCCTTTATTTTATGCTTTCACTATCAACATGGCCACCTTGATGACTCCATCTTAATTTACATGACAAAGAGGGGAACAGGCGCACATCACTCCTGCGGCTACAATGGAACATCTTGCACTTGTTAGACATGGCATGCATAAAGTCTGAAAGTGATGAACAACAAGGAGACGAATTGCGCCAAGCACAACCAAACCTCTCAAGAGATAAAGAATTGTAGCAACTTAGTCACCATTATTCAAGTAAACTCTTCCATTTATATTCTTTGATAGCATACTTTGTTAAGTGATCAGCCACATGCAAAGAAAGAAAATCTAACTTACCTGATGCAACATGTAAAATACTTATAAAATGTCATGCATTATATTTTAGGGCCCCTCATCATGTGTGAGTGTGATCTTGTCTGCAGCTATTACTATGAGAAGCTTTCATCACAAGAAAATATACATCTATGTTTTTAACAGCACACTACATGGTACATCTATTGACTTACCTCTTATAAACTCTTGAGATGCACAGGAGAGGAGAGAGTGAAACAATAAGCAGAAGGTAAAAAAGGATCTGTGTGACTTTGTCAAGGCCTCACCAGACAAGTGAAGTGGGACTGCGGCTCTTGGTCGTCTTGACGACGGATGCTTTTTCAAGCAAATCAGCCAATGAAACGCGCACTGGTCGTCATACAAAAGGCCATGTGACTCTGGCTGCCTTTCAGAAGGAGGAGACAAGAAGCGCAAGGATCATTGGCCTGGGAATGACAGCAGTATGATTTTTCTTTACTCTTTTTTTGACTCGGTTTTTATGATGACTGCGGTCCCATAACTATAATAGATGTCTGGAATATATTTGAGCTTCAACAGCGACTGGAAGTGTGAGCCTTAAGGCTACGGAGATGAAAGATAGCCACCTTGTGGACCATTTGGAGAATTACCTCAGTGGACCTCTATTTTGAAAATTAAAGAATTAAATCGAGAGTATTTTGAAATAATAAATCACTCAGTGCCTCAGCCATGAGACATACTTATTTTAATTAAGTATTTTATGAAAAGAGAAGAAATCACTATCCATACCTGAGAAAGACAGTAATGACACATTTATAGCACATGCTTACATGCTTTTATCCCTCTGTAGTTTCTTGAAACGTGGGTGTGAAATCAATGTATATAAGAAACTTAAAAACAGAAAAGAAAAAAGAAAAGCAACTTGGCTATATGGGCATTTTTCTTTAATAATGAAAAAGATGAAAGAAATAATTACACTAAATGAGAGAGAGAGAGAGAATCATTCATCGAGTGTCTTATCAAGTGAAATTCCCCTAATTTCAGTGATTTTTTGTAACTACTCAATAATATATATATATATATATATGAAGAGTTCAGATGCAAAAGCCTCTAAATGCCGTCTGAAATTTTCTTCTAAAATGAGCATTTTTATCAGGCCCCTATATTTACGTTCAGTTATTTCACTTTAATTGCATAGAAAAGGACCTATACATTGCCATTAAAATAAAATGACTGAACCTAAACATAGGAGACTGATAAAAATGCTAATTTTAGATGAAAATTTCAGATGGCACTTAGAGGCTTTTGCATCTGAACTCTTCATATATATATATATATAGATAAACAATGGTGTGTAATAAATCAAAGAAGGAATTAAAATATATATTTTTTAAGTTGAGTCATTGAATATGTTTTATAATCTGAAATTTCCTTCTGGTTGCCAGTTTTTTTTTTAATACTATTTGTTTGTTTGTTTGTTTGTTTAAGAAAGAAAGAAAGAAGCAGATGTTTTTTTGTGTTTTGCAACATAAGACAGCCCACCTGTAAGTAAGGCTGAGAGAGTGTGTGGTGTTGTGTGTATAGCCTATTGAGACACCGAGTGTTTGGGCGTGTGCTGTGGCTCTAAGCGCCCTCTTCTTCTTTCTTCCCCCTACACACACACACACACACACACACACACTCTCTCTCTCTCTCTCTCTCTCTCTCTCTCTCTCTCTCTCTCTCTCTCTCTCTCTTTCTCTGCTTGCCTATCAGTCGACCCACACCGGCAGCTCGTTATTCAATGTTTGTGTTGCTCGCATCTGCTTCAGGGAGTCTATACCGCGCGAGAAGAAGAAGAACATGCGCTGTCTGAGAGGAGCAGCGGGAAGGATGTCGACATATTATTGACTTGTGCTGACTGTGTCGTCGAGACGAGCGAACAGCGCCGTGTGTTTAGTAAGTAGTCCAGCCGCTGATTTCTATGCTGTGTGTCGCGCAGGATAACAGCAGCAACAAAATGTTCCTTGCAGACGCTGGACGGGACATTTTGTTGGCGTCAGGACATAAACCATTTCACCAACATCTCGAAACTGGAGAACTACTACTACAGTAGTGAACATGAAAAACGAAACAAATTCCAATTCCATTCATCTCTAGTTTGTTGCAACTATCAAATACTCGTATACAGCGGTGTTCTGCATGGATCATTGTCGATTCAGGAGGAGTGAGTGCATTTAAACCAACAGAACCTAAGACTAGTTTTTGTTTTCTAATGGGTTTTGTTTAGGCACGTTTTTGAAACTTATTATCGCATAGATTTTTTGCCATTATATGTATTGTAAGGCTAACAGAGATCAGCTCATCCAAATGACCACGATGTTTACATTGCCCATCGTCTGAGAAATCAATAAAGGTGATGTCATTGTATTCCAGCATTAATGGGAAAAATAAATATGAATTTTTTCTGTATGTTACACAAATACCATACTATATATACATATATATATATATGTATGGGTGTGTGTGCGTTTTTGTGTGTGTTGTGAAAGTCTTTAAAGGGTTACACCCCTGGTACAGTATGATCACTCATTTTATGGGCAAAATAACACTTTTGATTCTAGTCAATTCAAAAAGCCTGACCTGATGCTTTACCATGATCCAGAGCCTAAAAGTAATATAAAAGTTGTAAAAACGTCCAGCAGGAAAAAAAGAAAAAGATTTTTACAGGTAGGGCTACATGACAGGTGCAAGAGCTAAAAATAGATTTTCAATTGGAATACTTGATGCTGTGTCCATTGAGCACAGCTGAACCTGATGGCTTGAAATGATATATTTTTTTAAATCATATTTTTCATCTCCATAACAAATAACATAATTGTTTAATATCCTTTTTTATACTCTATATTTGGTTATTTAAATATTATAGGTATGTTATCTGCTCCATATGTAAGGAAATACAAAAAATTGTTTAGGAAATTTTTTCAGATAAATATTCCGAAAAAAAGGATGAGGATATCCATGGATGGTCCTCTATTATATGTAGATTATTTGAAGTTCACCTCCTGAGGATCTGTATTTTATTAGGTTTGTTTAGGTATTATAACTTTGGAAAGAATGAAATCACACTGCACCAAGCATTTTAACTAATAACAAATAGATCACTGTCAGGAAAAGCCCTGTGTAAGTTTCCCCTGGCAGCCTAAAATAGCTTTTCTTTTTGTCCTGTGTCACATCACACGACACAAGGGTAATTTCATCTGTATTAAATACTGTCGGCAGGATGAGTGCTTCACTCCAGGAAACTTGTACACTTTATATAGATGTTGACTGGCTTCCCTTTTTTACTGTTTTCACTTAGAGTTTTATTTCCTTGTCAGCTCATTTTAATTTGTCCAACAGACTGTTTCAAGTGTAAGACCTTTAATGATTTATTCAGAATTTTCCCAAATTCTTTATTTTCTCAAATTTCCTTGTTCCTTGTTTCCCCTCAGCTTCGGTCACAGTAGCAGTGAGAATGACGGAATATAAGTTAGTGGTGGTTGGTGCAGGTGGTGTAGGCAAGAGTGCTCTGACAATCCAGCTCATTCAGAACCACTTTGTTGATGAATACGACCCAACTATTGAGGTAAACCAAATGTCAGCATGGTATTTTCTGTCATTTATCTTTGTCTCATATTTAATAATTTATTTAATAAGTATTTTTTTATTTTTAATTTAATAGACCTCAGTTCAGAATGAAGTTCCCTAATTTCAGATATATGAATATGGAACATCAAAATGTCATCTGAGGGTAAAACTGTAATGGAGCCGACGAGACGTGAGGATCCATTTGCAAAGCTTTAATAGAAGACAGAGACATGGTCATAAAACAGGCATGGGTCAGACAATGGCAAACAGGTATATAGAGGGCAAGACAAAAGAGTATCCAAAGGAAGGCGTGAGTCAGTCGACGGTGAACGTAATCCTGAGGGCGAGGCAAATGGGGAATCCACAAGACGAGCTAGAGTCCAGGCGAGGTGCAAACACAGTCTGAAACAGCAAGGCAAAGGGTAATTCCAAAACAGGCTATAAACTTCAGGGCAGAGATCAGACAAAACGAGATAACAGGCAAGGATCAAGACACGGGTAAACAGATTAAGAACAAGGCAGTACTAAATGAAGGAATTTAGAATGGCTCCGTAAAGTAGCTATCACACGATGTATTTGCAAAGCTTTAATAGAAAACAGAGACATGGCATGGGTCAGACAATGGCAAACAGGTATATAGAGGGCAAGACAAAAGAGTATCCAAAGGAAGGCGTGAGTCAGTCGACGGTGAACGTAATCCTGAGGGCGAGGCAAATGGGGAATCCACAAGACGAGCTAGAGTCCAGGCGAGGTGCAAACACAGTCTGAAACAGCAAGGCAAAGGGTAATTCCAAAACAGGCTATAAACTTCAGGGCAGAGATCAGACAAAACGAGATAACAGGCAAGGATCAAGACACGGGTAAACAGATTAAGAACAAGGCAGTACTAAATGAAGGAATTTAGAATGGCTCCGTAAAGTAGCTATCACACGATGAGCGATAAGTGCTAAAACAATACTCGGCGACTAGAGCAGGATCAGAGTGAGTGTTATATAGTGTGAGTTATTGGATGCAGGTGAGTGCGCAATCAGTGCAGTGGAGCATGGGAGATGTAGTCCATAGTGATGTGTGACAGTCTATGTGGAGTGAGTGTCAATATGGTGAGAGAGCGACCTCTTGTGTTCATTGGATGAAAGTTCATGGACTGAATTCGTGACAAAAACATTCCCACCGTTTTGGCCAAACAGGCTACAGTTTCCACTTTCTTTTATCAGTAACAGAATACATTTCATTATGTGTTGCAATGTCAATTTAGCAGTAAGAGAATTCACAGACATTGGACATCTTACATTGAATATTTATGCATTGTTCTTCCTCACAGGACTCATATAGGAAACAGGTGGTGATTGATGGAGAGACGTGTCTGTTGGATATCCTGGATACTGCAGGTCAGGAAGAGTACAGTGCAATGAGAGACCAGTACATGAGGACCGGAGAGGGCTTTCTCTGTGTCTTTGCCATCAACAATACCAAGTCTTTTGAGGACATTCATCAGTACAGGTTAAATGAATGAAAACTGTATAAATATAAGAATACATTTATTTTTTTATTTTTTTATTATTTTTTTTTAATATGCAGTATATATATATATATATATATATATATATATATATATATATATATATTTATTTATTTATATATTTATGTATTTGTTTTTGTTGCTTTTAAAAGGGAACAGATTAAGAGGGTTAAAGACTCAGATGATGTGCCTATGGTGCTTGTGGGTAATAAATGTGACTTACCAGCACGCACTGTGGACACAAGACAAGCCCAGGAACTCGCCTGTAGCTACGGTATACCCTACATTGAAACCTCAGCCAAGACAAGACAGGTTAGAAACATTTTGGCCAAATATATTCTGTTATATAACATTTTATTATAAAATTCTGTCAAGTATCAAGCTGCCCTAATTTCATTTTGTACATTGCACTCTTTATGTATTTTTGTACAAAGGTTCTTTGGCATCTGTGGTTTCATGAAGAACCTTTTCTAAAATCCATGGAACCTTTCCTTTGCACAAAAGGTTCTTTAGAATATTAAAATGTTTTTCATGCAAAGAGCAAGTGATTCTTATAAAGGGGACATAGGATGAAATGTTCACTTTTTTTAGCTCTTTTTTTTTTGGCATTTTGTCAGGTTTCTGGTGTGTCTGCCAGCTCAGAAAAGCTGAAAAGAAAACACACAGCCAGTTTGTTATGGGCTGTCTGAGTCTGAAGCGTTGTCATCCAGCGAGCTGTTTCAATTTGCAGCCGGTTTCTACATAGATAGCTAGCTATTTGAATAAGACCACCTCCGAGCCATATACGGAGCCCAAGGCAATTCACGCATCTTGTGTCAACACGCCCCTGGAAGAGAGGGGCGGGGTGAGCAGTAGCTCATTATCAAAAGAGACATGCTCCGAAATGGCTCGCTTTCAAACAGAGCTGTTTTTGACAAGGTTAAAAAGGGTGTTGTTTTACATGACCATTGAGGAATTTTAACCAAAGTATGTTACAGACATTTCATGAAGACCCTAAAGAATCATACCAACTTGTGGAAAACGGGCATCCAATGTCCCTTTTAAGAACTGGTTCTTATATTGCACCACTACAAAAAAAAAACATTTTGGACCTTTTATTTATACGAGTGTGGTGGCATGTATAGCTCAGGTTAAACTATTACCAACAGCCAGAATGTAAGAAGAAAATCCCTAATTAGTGTGTGTGTGTGTGTGCGTGCTCACGTTTTTGTGATTTTTGAGGACACAAATTTGTATAATGACATGGGTATGACAGGTATTACAACGAGAAGGTGATTTCTGAGGACATGTTGAGTGTCTCCGTATTTCAAAAGGCTTATAAATCATTCAGAATTAGTTTTTTTTTTTATCTAAAAATGCAGAAAGTTTCCTGTAAGGGGTAGGTTTAGGTGTAGGGCAATAGAAAATACGGTTTGTACAGTATAAAAACCATTATGCCTATGGAATGTCCCCACAATTCACAAAAACAAACCTGTGTGTGTGTGTTTCTATTCAGGGAGTGGAAGATGCATTTTACACTCTTGTCCGTGAAATCAGGCAGCATAAGCTGAGGAAACTGAACCCGCCAGATGACAATGGCCAAGGCTGTATGAACTGCCGCTGTGTGGTGTCATGATCTGGTAAACATTTTTTATTCTGTATGCTAGTAAACGTTTTAAAAATCATGCAAATTAGTATATATTCATATGGTTCTCAATAAATGAAACATACAAGTATTCCTAGATAATTAAGCCATTGTGTACTGCTGCTCATGTGTACTCAGTTCTCCCCTTGTCTTTGCAGTGAATATGCATGACGAGGCTTTTAGAGTGGTGCAGCCTTCCAGACCACAATCACTGCAACACCTACACAGATGCTGGATGTTTAGAGCAGACTGTGTAAAAGGGATGCTCCCGTCTTGCTCCTTCATTGGAGATGAAATAAGTTGTACCTCATTTTAACAGTCTCAACACTGGAGTTGCTACAACTGGATGAAGCTGTCACCCTTAAATATATTTACATTAAACAAACTATCTACTCTTAACTGGAAGTAATAGCTCAGAAAATAACCTCTCATATTGCTTTGTTAAATGTGGATGTTAGAAAAACACTTTACGAGATGGAGATGAGAAACACTACATCAGTTATATTAGCATACGTCTAGATGTGAGAAAGATTTGTTGCTTAGAGCAAGTCTAACACATTCTAAAATATTGCAAAGAGGACTTTTAGTCATATGCAGTGTGTTTATCAGAGGTTATGGTGCAATAGATTGCGATTAGAGGGTACACCTCCGATAAGTCTTTGATTTGCACATGGTGTAGGACAACATTTTAAAACGGAGGACTTTATTCTTTGTTAGCTTTTGGTTTTGAATGGCCCTCGGGGTCTTTGAATTGTGGCTTGATTAGATATCCAGATGTGATGCTTTTTATTTTTCGATATTAGACAAATGCATTGCAGATAATTGCATTGGCTAAAGAAGACAGATTAATGAAGATCTCTTCAAAGAATAAACAGACTTGTTGGAAAATGAACGCAAAGCTACTATAAACTTAAAAGCTTGGACTGAAAAGCCTTGTTGATATTCTTGCCAAGTACTGTGCTGTTCCCATGTTCAGGGCATAAGCTTGAAACTTTTACATGTATACCATATTGTCTAATCTTCAACTGCATTTTCCCCTTATGCCTTTCTGAAGTAAATATTCCATGTTTGTGTCATTAGGGAGTGAAGATTTAGGTTTAAATGTGGAATTCATATGAAAAACAAAACAAAAACAGATTGACTGTATACCATTACTGTAAATTATCATATGAGGGAACCTTAAGTTATATGTTCATAGGCAACATATGGCCTTGTAATTGCAGGGAAGAGCCACAGTCTGGACTTTCTCTTTTTGATTGCTTAAAATAGCTCATGTCTCTTTGCAAAGTACAGATTTTAAATCTCAACAAAGATCTTTCTAGTTCATTTAGGCTACTTAAATCAGATGAACTAACATGTCTTTGACTAGTAGTGAGTGTATTCTCTTTCTGGTTGAAATTTGATGATTTTACTGTAAGGATTCTGGTGTGTTTTATTCCCTGACAGTCTATTGATTGTTCTCAAGGACATACATGGACGGATATGATTCTCCTTTTAAATCACAAGTCAGTAGCTATGGATATGACCTTCAGGGGATTCTGTCAGAATGCTGTAGGCATCCAGATCTTTTTGATAGATTTACTGTCTATGCTGCCACAGAGTAATGTGGGTTTATCAGGCGGCGAGATTGCTTCCACTTAGCTACCGAATAATGTTTTACATCAATACTATTGGTTAATGGCCATTTTCCGTAGGCTAACACTCAGATTAACATTATGTAAAAAAAAAAAAAAAATCAAAAAAACGTGACCTGTCCAACGTTATTCTGTTTTGAACTTGACGTACGCCAACTGCTGCTAAATAATTTTTGTTTTCTTTCTTTTTTTATGGAAAAGAAATGGTAGAACACAGCGTTAGCGTTCCAAAAGGCTGTGTCGGTTCTGGTATTAAATAATCATATTGGTTTTTGCAGCAATTAATACTTAAAAATATGATTATTTTTAAGAACGTGTTTTTATTTTTGTGTCTATAGTGTGTGAAGACTACAATGAATTTCCTTTTAACAATATGTTATAGATTTGTGCCTACCGTTATTATTGTGTTAAGAAAGAATATCAAATAAAGAGGTTTGTTTTGATTTCCTGAGCATCCTTTTTACATTTGCATATTTAATCATCTTAAAAATCACATATTACTTGGTTACTATATCCTAAAGATTAATTTATAAAGTTCAAAAATTAAGCAGAGAGTACACACCCACGACAGCGTCTGTGTCATCAGTCATCTGACCGGAAGTGACTTCTTGCATTTCAGCCGTGATTTCGTTGTTTGTTATGGATGCGATGATTTGATTTTTATGAGTTTAGGTCCTTAACAACAACTACATAATTAAGCTAATAAACGCCGTGCTGTCGTTTTAAGTAATACATTGGTTCAAAGTATTTTTAAGCATGGCGGCAATCATCGAAGGTTCCCTACGGAAAACGCTGTCGAAGGTACGTTAAATACCTGCATACCAGAGAAGCTGTTTACAAACTATATCTGTCGTCATACGGGTTATGTTTTTCTGTGTACACAGATTTATAAATACAGGGATCTGACCTCACGCGACATAACAAGCGTCGCGTCTCACTATAAAGATCTTAAAGCTGTGATGGACAACTACGGTAAGACTTCATCTGCCTCCAAACTTCAACCACATTTTTTTTTTTTTTTATCCAAATACAACTATATTGCTAAAAATAAAAACGAAGGTATTTGGACACTTTGTGGCTGTCATAAGTTGGAATATGTTGTTAATGTGTCAGCTGTGCAAACTTGAGAAGAACTGACTTCATACATCCACTAAAAATGTGCTTGACACCAGTTAGTTGAAATTGTTTTCAAAACTGGTTCAGCGTTAATGTAGCTACATTTTTGAACCATTGTGATGTTTGGATGTACAGTAGGTGAGAGAGATGGGTTTAATCTAGTAAACCTGCATATTTTTCATATGGCTTTATCTAGACAGGGCCCATGACATGTGTTAGAGGTGCATGTAAGAAAAGTGATGAGCTTGTTTAAATTAACAAAAAAAAAAGGTTGGCATGTTAGTGTATTTTTGACATGCAACGTTAAAATTATTTTTATTTCAAAGCAAAATTCTAGAAATTATTTCAGATATTGGTTATGAATTATTAAAGGGGTCATATGATGCGATTTCAATTTTTCCTTTCTCTTTGGAGTGTTACAAGCTCTTGGTGCATAAAGAAGCTCTGTAAAGTAGCAAAGACTAAAGTCTCAAATCCAAAGAGATATTCCTTATAAAAGTTAAGAGTCAGCCACACCTACCTAAAACGGCTCGTTCTAACACGCTCCCACATATCTACCTCACTATGTGGAAATATTAGCATAATGCCGCCCAAATGTTCACGCAAAGAAAGAAGGCGTGGATTCAGGAACAGCAGTAGTGTTGATGCAGCCATGTCAGTGAGACGCTGTGTTTCAGTGCGAAAGCAAAAGCACTTTATTTGGCCTTCAGGAAGTAGATGCAATTAGGAATCATTGGTTAAGATTTATTTACAACAGAACAGCACAACCCAGATGTTCGAAGTTGTGCAACGCATTTTATGGAGGACAGTTTTTTGAACAAAGAAGAGTACAAGGCTGGCTGTGCACAAAGGCTATTTCTAAAAAATAAAAAAAAAAGGGTAAATTCCAACTTTGCTATAACAATCTGGCGCTTCTGAATCAGCGGCCGTGATTTTGTTTTGTTATTAGTTTAAGTATTTGCTATTGACTGTTAAAATGCGGAGTTTTGCAGAGTAATGCGTCGTGTGTGTGTGAGGGGAACAGGGTCACATCACAGGAGAGTGAACTGCCTGTCAGAAATCATAGCACGTCAGCTGTCTTAACCGCGGCTTGTGTACTGCATCATCACTGTGTCTGTCACGCGACTCTGTTGCCCTTTTGGGCTTGAACTGATGGTAAAACTAACGACATTATTATCTTTCTTGTTATTTACTTTGAAAGCTTGAAGCTCGCGATTATGGTAAGGGGCGTTACATTTCCGACGCGTGCTTGTGGTGTTCGGCCAATCACAATGCACTGGGTCAGCTGGCCAATCAGAGCAGACTGCGCTTGTCAAAGGAGGGGGCTTTGTTGAAAACGACGCGTTTGAGAGAGACAGGACATAGAGGACCTACAATAATGTACAGTATTTGAAAAATAATGTGTTTTTTGAACATTAAAGCATGTCAACATATTCTGTTTCACCAAATACACAAAATAATGATCTTTAAAATAGCATCATATGACCCCTTTAAATACAGAATATTTCCTAAAGTGGTAGCTGTAGAGAAATGTGTCAGATGCTTCAGAAAGGAAATACTGTTACATAAGTCTCAATCCACATGATTGCTTTAAACATACGTCAAGTATTTTTTGTGTTATGAATAAACTCTGCCACAAGCTGTGTAAATGTTGTGTCTAGTCCTCAGATTTTTCTGAATGATATCAGTTCCATCGTAGTATCGTACTGTAAATTTACAGGTATGTATTGCCCTGCACTCATTTTGTTTTCTTTATTTCAGTGTTCAATGATGGCTCCACCAAAGAGCTGTTGAGTCTCACAGGAACAGTGCCAGTAAGCTACCGAGGTATAGATGGCACTGCTTTCAAGAAGTGTTTGAGTTTCTCCATTCCTCACCCATTTAGCTGTATCCAGATGAGTCATTTCTTTATGTTGGGCCCTTTTCCCTATTTAATATTTTCCTCTTCTATAGGAAATGTGTACAACATTCCCATCTGCCTGTGGCTTCTGGACACGTACCCCTACAACCCTCCCATCTGTTTTGTCAAACCCACAAGTGCCATGATGATAAAAACAGGGAAACATGTTGATGCCAATGGAAAGATTTACCTCCCATACCTACATGAATGGAAACCTGTGAGTGTCTTTTTTAAAATCTTTGTCTGTTTAATGTAGGACAACATGAACCTACCTTTTGTTTGTTTTTGTCTTTTTTTAGCCCCAGTCTGAATTGTTAGGTCTGATCCAGGTGATGATTGTGGTGTTTGGAGAGGAACCACCAGTTTTCTCACGGCCCACCACTCAGGCAGCTTACTCAGCATTCCCAGCAGCAGGCCCACCTAACAGTGAGCGTAGACTTGCGTCTGATCGTTTCGATTCAATGCAATATTTTTGATCTCATAGAAAACATTTTAAGGTTTATGTAACATTTGTATAAGCATTTAGACTTTGGGAATCAGCAATAATTATGTAACTCAATGTTTTTCCAGCTTCTTACATGCCAAGCACACCAGGGTTGCCTTATGGTCAAGGTCACCCTGCCAATCCAGGGTAAGTGCTTTCAGTATGCCAATCACAAATCATGGCCATATGATCAACTCGATTCCTACATGTATACACTACCATTCAAAAGCAGTACGTTTTTTTTTATTCAGCAAGGATACATTCAATTTGTCAAAAGTGACAGTAAAGAAGACATTTATAATATTTCTATTTCAAATAAATGCTGTTTTGTATTCATCAAAGAATCCTGAAAAAATGTATCACAGTTTCCAGAAAAATATGTTGTTTTATAGTGTAATCATATTCAAATACTACTCTTTACTGTACTTTTGTTCAAATAAATGCAGCATTGGTGAGCATAAGGCTGCACTTTTGAACGGTAGTGCTTTTCTCATACATCTGCCACAGAACATAAGATTTTGGCTTCATATGTGGTTCTAAATCTAATACATATCTGATACCTGGTCATCTGACCTATGTCTAAACACTCCTTTCCAATTCTCCATTTATTGCACAATATTTCATATCTAATATTTAATATTTTATATCTGTGCATGTAATACTGTAGCTCTGAGATAACAAGCAGTTGAGAAATGTCAAGCATGCATTTTTCTGCAAAGTGACATTTATTTTTATACTAGGCAGCAGTCTGTAAATCTAAATACACACAGGTAAAAGCACCACACGTTTCTGGCACACTCGTGAAAATTGCGATACACTCAAAGCTAGTTTTGTGCGTACATGAAACAATGTGAAGAATGTGTGTAGAAATGTATTATTAAGCAGAATTACCAAACTGCAGCATAATACAAGGTTTGAGTGAATATCTCCAGCATTTCCATAAGAGAATAGGAGGAAAAGAACAAACATGTCTTTCATTCGCAATACATTTTCTAAATAGATGTGCACTCTAATGCATTCAATCTTTTTTTGGAATGAAGGCTTAACCAGGCTTACCCTTGCTCATGCAAGGGTAATGAGAATTCGTATAATGAACATAATAATGAATAGAATTGTATTTTCCTCCTTCAAAGAATTAATTGCATTCTTGTGATTATTTTATAGATATTTCTAAGATAAAGGACATGTAAAATTTGTCATTTTTGGTGCCGTTTAGTAACACTTTTACAACTAAGAAAAAGTTCTAACTATGCTTGATCACTAACAGGCTTGTGACGAGTGATTAATGTAAATACAGGCTGTTGTGTCTGAAGTGTATATAAAGAGATGGGACATTTCGTTAAACCTTGCTGTGTAAATGCCAATGAAATTTTACTATATATATTTTCTTTCTTTCTGTCTGCCAGTGGATTTCAGGGCTACCCTTATCCTGCAGTAGGCCCTGGATACCCCACTCCCTCAGGCTCCTCTCTCTACACCCCAGTGTCTTCTGTCACTACAGTGGGTGAGCAAGCATCTTACATGTTAAATTAGTAGTGACGTCAAGACACTAATAAATCATGCATTTCTAAACTTGCATCAGTCTCAAAAACAAGTACACTACTATTCAAAAAAAATTGGGGTCATTAAGTTGATGCGTTTATTTAGCAAGGATGTATTAAATTGATCAAAAGTAGCTGTAAAGGCATTTATAATGACACAAAAGATCAACATTTCAAACTAATGCTGTTATTTTGAACTTTCTATTCATCAAAGAACCAGAAAAATATGCATCACAATTTCCAGATAAATATTAAGCTGCACAACTG